CCCCAAAAAAAAAAAAAAAAAAAAAAAAATTTCTGTAAAACTGTGGTTTTTTTCCCTAGTACTCTATGGTTTTCTTTTCCTTTTAAACATTGATATTTAGTCCATTTGGAAAGTATTTTTAAGTAAGATCTAACTGGATTTTCCCAGGAGGTGAGTAAGAATCCTAATGTAATTACATTATCCATCCTTTCCCTGGGGGTTCGAAATGCCGCCCAGTGCCAACTCTCCATGTATTTTATTCACTTCTGCATTTTGCATTGTTTAGCTGTTACTTCTGAAGCATCATCGTATCTCATTATTTGCTGAGGCACCTTCAGCCCTCCTTGCACTTGTGCGTTTACTCCACTGCATGAGTGGCGTTACTTAAAGTTGTTACAAGTTGATAAAAATACTGATGTATTCTCTTATTTGGACTAAATCTGTGGATGCATTCAAGGAGGGAAGATGTAACGTCTTCTGAGTGTTTTCCATCCAAGCACATAATAAAATGCCTTGTTTCATCCAAGACTTCTTTTAAGTCCCTCTGCGGTGATGGTCTCGTTCCCAGAAGGAGGGGAAATGTATATAAAAGAGTTGAAGACGTGAGGTCCGTCATCTCCTTCGTTTACTTGCCTCCCTGCCTTGCAGACCTCTGGGTCGCCCAGAGGCGGATCATCCAGGCAGGAGGTTTGGTTCTTTTTGCAGGATCTTAGTCCCCCGACCAGGGATTGAACCCGCGCCCTCGGCAGTGAGAGCGCAGAGTCCTAACCACCGGGCCGCCAGGGAATTCCCCTTTCTTTCTCTTTTAAAATGTGGTCACTCCAGAGGTCAGTTGTCGTGTCCCCCTGTGGCTCCGCAGGTGCGGCCGCAGTGAGGCCGTGCCCGTTCCCAGCGTCACCGGGCTGCTGCCTGGCGAGGCGTCCCCGCCTTCCCGGCCCCTCCCCACTGCCCCCTTTCCTCCTGCAAGTGCCAGACGTGCCCCTACCCTGGGGAGGCGGTGTCGGGGCGAGGAGCTGCCCAGGAGGACGCTCCAGCCCGGGCAGAGCGCAGCGGGGAGAGGCTGGTGTGCACAAGCTCACGGGTCTGAGGTGTGTGGGCTGTCCTGGTACCTGTTGTCCTGGTGCCGGGCTGTCCAGGTGCTGACGTCCCCGCCACAGTGTCCCACCTCTGTGCCCACAGTCTGCTGTATAGCATTTTCAAGTTCCCTGTTTGGTTTTAGCTACAGCTAGCTTTAATGTGAATTTAGAATAATTTTAAGGCAAGTCCATTTGGGCTTGTGTCCAAGGGCTACTGGGGTAGAAATACCAAAAAACAAAGAAATGAGGACACACATCTCATCCTGAGCTTGTCTCCTCTGAGAGCGTTTGACCCCGGGGCCCGGCGAGCCTGGTTGGACACGACCAGCGTGTCTTCCAGCTTCACTGGGTCAGCGTTGGGTGGCTGGGTAGTTAGTTGCTCGATGTGTGCACGGTCGAGGGAGGAAGCGCTGGAGGGGAGCTTGGAAGGTGTGAACTTTCCTTCCGGGGGCGCAGGCCAGCAGGAAGCCCGCGCTGGCTGAGTCTGCGGGCGGCTGGGCGGGGCCGGGAGGGGGCAGGGACACCGCGGCGCTGTGAGCCCGAGTCCGCCCGCCCTGACCCCGCTCTGCCCGCAGGCCGGCTGTGCGGACTCGCTGCTCTGGAGGCTGAACCAGTGGCTGATGGTCCACCTGTTCCACTGCCGCATGGTCCTCACCTACCACATGTGGTGGGTGTGCCTGGGCCACTGGGACGGCCTGGCCCGCAGCCTCTTCCCGCCGCACTGGGCGCTCTTCGTGGTCGGGCTGGGCCTCCTCACGGTCCTCATCAACCCCTACTGGACCCGCAAGAAGACGCAGCAGCTGCTCAACCCCGTGGACTGGAACTTCGCGCCCGGCCGCCCCAACGGGCCGGCGCCGCCCAAGAAGACGAGGTAGCGGCCTCGGCCCCGACTGTCCCCGCGGCGCCGACCCCAGGCCGCGTGAGTACTGACGTCCACGTGGCGCCGAGTACCTACACCTGAGCACGCCTCGGGGACAGAGTCCCGCCGTGGTGACGTCACGGCCCTTTGTGCTCATTCCCGCGAGCTTGGCCTGTCTGCGCCGTCGCCCCAAGGAGGGCCCGCGTGGACGGGTCGCACTAAAGCGTGTGTGCGTCTTATTCAACAGCCCCGTTATTTTTAGTTGGAGAGAACTGTCCCAAGAGAACATAATCCGGTCCCTTACCCTGTTGACATTCCCAGGGCTGAGATGTAAGCCGCGTCTCCGCAGCGCCATCTCGTGGTGAGCGCGGGGCATCGGCCTGGCTTGCGGCTGGGGGCGGCGGAGGGGTCTTCTCACCAGGGAAGCTCCTCCGGCGAAGAGTTTTGTTTCCGTTTTGTGTTTCTCTGTTGACACATTAAGGGAGGTGTTAGTAATCAGATTTGTCTAGATTTTAGAGCTGTTTTTAACTAAGTTTCAAACAGGTGCCCCGCCAGACCCTACCTAACCCCCTGGTTGGTGTCTCTCTGTAGGTTTCGCCGGACCCTAAGCCCCTGGTTGGTGTGTCTCTGTAGGTTTCAAGTCGGGTCAGTGGTCACTCTCCCTGCGAGCTGTGGGTGGACCTGGCCCCTTGGAGTGCCCGGCTGCAGGGCCCCCTCCTCACCTCCCGGTGATGAGCCCGGGCACCACCTTCACCGTGTGGGGCCCGGGTGGAATCTACACGCCGACCCGCCATTTTATTGACGAATACGTACTGACACCTTATTCTTGCCATGAGTGGGCAATTAAAATGAAAAGCTCGTATTTACTGAAAGTGCCCTTGAACTGTTTTTGAAAAACACATTTATTGGTTGTGAGAATCACGTGTGCCTTGGGCTTGGTCTGTAACACGGCCCCCTCGGAAGGGTGTGTGCTGATTTCTGGTACTGTGACTTGACTGTATGTAGGTCAGGAGATGTGATACCTACTTGTGTCATTTTGAGAAGTGTTTCAACCCTAGAAACATCCAGCAGACCGTGTCCCTGCTGAGACTCCTCCCTCCCTCGCTGGAAACCCCGGGCACCCGCCGCCCGCTCTCCTGTCCGCAAGCCGGGGGGAGCCGAGCTGGCTGTGTTTCCAGCCGGTCAGAACTTTAATAAAGTAACCGATGTTTACAGAACCCGAAAGCATATCCGTTCTTCTCTCTCAACACTGTTCACATTGCTGTGGAGGTTTTCTGTCTCGGTGATACAACTGTGATGATAAATCTTCACGTGCTCAAGGTTTGAACTCGGTTTAAGGTATAAAATATTTAATTTATACGTGACCCTCACTGGGAATTTGACTTTCCCTGGGCTCGGTCTCTGCATCCTTCAGCTCAGTGAAGGTGCTTTTGCCTCCATCCCGACCCGACTTCCCGTGAGGACCACAAAGGCAGGGGCGTTTGGTCAGAAAGGGCCTTTTGATGCTTGTGATCCAGCATCCAGGCACCTTCGCTGCCCAGACAGGTGCTGCCTTCCGGGCTGTGGGTGCTTTGCGAGCTCCGCCCAGCCCGTGCACGGGCGAGGCCATAGAGAGAGATGTCAGGGAGTGTGCAGGGGGGCGTAGGCCCCAGCCCTCCTCGGACCCGGTCTCTCTGATCGCTGCGGCTCCGCCAGCTGTCCCTGCTGCGGACCGCTGGGCTTTCCCAGGCGCCACGCTGGCCACCGAGGGCTCCCCGGTTCCTGGCACGAACACCTCTGGGAAGTAGGCACCGTCAATCCCATTTAGAGCTGGGGCCTGGGGCTACGAGGTGGCGCAGGCGGTCAGCGGCCACGCTCTGACTTTAAAGCCGAGGCCCGTAGACTGCGTCTACGAGCACAGAAAGCAAGCGGCAGGCCTCGGCTGACCCTGCCCACCAGACCCAGCTGCATCCGCGTACGCAGAGCACTGGAGCACTGTGGTGTCTGTCCAGGTACCGCAGCCCCGCGGGAGAGATGCCCGGCCGCTGGTGAGGCCGCGGCGTCGTCAGCGGGCAGGTATGGGGGTCCACCGGGAAGGGGAAGTTAGGAAGTGGGAGCGGCAGCCCGGCTCTGGCACCTGGAAGGCCGGGGCCGCGGGCGACTCTCCCGGGGGCAGAGCTGGGGTCTCCGGCTTGGGCGAGAGGCTGGGCGCCCTGTGGGGGCCAGCCAGCCTTGTGTGCAGCAGCCGTGTCTGCGTCAGGGCCGGCCAGGTGATGGGGTGACGGGCTGGAATGGCTGTCACGTATTTCAGAGTGTTGAAAGCAAAGCAGCGGCCCTGTCTCCTCTCCCTCCTGCACCGGCACTGTGCCCACCAGAACTGTGCACACAGCCGGGCTCCCCCAGGCCAGGGGTGCGGATGGGGGCTGGGGCGGGGCAGCTGCCCTCGGGATCGGAGCACGGGGCCGGGGGCGGGGGGGTGGGGCTCCAGCAGGCGCCCTCAGGCTCCTCCCTCCTCAGGCCCTGGGCTCACCCTCATCTGGCCCTTCGGGACGGAGTTCCCAGCGTGGCTGGCTGGAGCCCCCCCGCTGGGGGGCAGCGGCCACGGGAGGAGGGGACTGGATGCCAGGTGAGCCAGTGCCCCCGAAGGTCAGACTCGTTTCTAGTTGTAAGAGTGAGGTCGATACCCAAAATAACCCCCCCTGAGTGATGCCACCCCCCTTCATGGATGCATGTGGATGCTTTCAGTTTACCTGTATCTTTGCTAAACTTCTGCTCTAATGGGAGAGTTTATTAATTCAACGTTTCTCTTTTTAAATAAATCTTCCCCTTTTTCAATAACTAGACTATACGGTGTACACATTGTCTTGCCAGGTCATGTTTAGTGAAGTGAAAATCTCAGAAATCTGTTTTCTTTCTCTGATGGCTGGGAACGCAGAGTGCTCTGGAGTGGACCCTGCCGGTCCGGGGCCTGCAGCTCTCCCCGCAGCCCGGCCGAGCCCAGCTACGCAGAGCAAGGAAGCTGCACCGTGACACCCCGTCCCACACGATGGGAAGGGCCGTGGGAGCCGCTTCTAACTTTCTGCCCCGGGGGGCCCACGGTGAGGACTCACTCCTCTCACTGTATGTGTGTATTTCCCTCTTACTGTCGTGCGGTTTCCGTGTCAGGTGCTGGCCTGTGGAGGCCTGGGTGTTCTGCTCTGTGCATCTATGTACCCTCCCCCCGCCCGCGCAATTCACATGCTGGCATCCTGACCCCCAGCGCGACGGTGTCAGGAAGTGGTGCCAGGGGCAGGTGACTAGGTCGTGAGGGTGTGGTCCCGCGATGGGATCAGTGCCCTGATAGGACGCGAACGGAGTGCGTGTCCCCCGCCTTCCCCCTCCCAGGTGAGGCTGCGTCGAATCTGCCTCCACTGTGACCCTGCGCTCCCAGCCTGCAGGTCTGCGGTGACCTGCTGAAGCAGCCGGGGCTGAGTCACTGGGTCCGCGTGACCTCAGCCTTTTCTCCCTGCAGCCCCCAACCCCCCAAGTCAAAAGTTTCCCAAAATTAACCCAGTGTTAAAATCCTCAGTTATTAAAGAAAGGTGTTGAAGGTCAAGTCTTCTCATCTGGAAGTGCCCTGTTGACGTTCTACGTAGAAAACTTTATAAACTTCACATTTACTTGTATTTCAAGCAGAACCACAGTTGGAAGGGGGCACGTTTCAGCCACAGTTTCTTTGGTTTGTATCGAGATCACCCTCGGCTCTTTTCCAAGAAATATGAAGCCTATTTGGTCCACTCCAGAGATTTTATTTCCGCACAAGTCAGACCAAGAGCCCAGAATGTTGGAGCCTTCACGGATTTTGTGCAGAAAGCCAAGCTTCAGAAAGTTCAAGGCCAGCCACGCCAGGACTCTCATTTTCCATCTTCCGGTAATTGCTTGTCTCAAAATGAAACATGTATTCACTTAAAAAAAAAAAAAAAAAGCTCAGAAAAACACCACATTCACTGAAAATGATGGTTTATACTTTAATTTGGAGCCAGTTATCCAACCGTGGGTTAACCTTCGTCAGTTCATCCTTTGCCAGCTGGGTTTTCAGGCCCCTCGCCCCTCAGCGCCCCCAGGTATGAGGTGGGCTTGGGAGGGCGGGAGGGGTCCTGGGGGTGCATGTCTTCTGCCAAGGAGGGTAAGCCTGGAGCAGGAAGACATCACCCCTTCCCGCGTCCTTTCTGCCTAACACGCAGTTCTGACGCCCACAGGTTCCTCCGCCCTTGACACGGGGACAGGCCTGAGGCCCGGGCAAGCAGGCGTCCCCGGGGGCATCTCTGCGCTGCTGCGCGGCCCGGCACCGCCCCCCCCCCCGCACCGCCCCCCCCCCCGCCCCCGCCCCCATCGCCTGTCAGGTGAGAAGGACTTTCTGCCCTGGAGTCCCCATCCCCACAGGAGGACCAGTTACAGAAATGCGAACCTTGAACGTTTTCATCCCACCGTGCTCCTGGTCTTTCATTTGGGTTCAGATGAACAGCCTGTGACAGTTAGCCCTCAAGAGAGGATGTTTCCAGTCTGAAGCTGCTGACCTTTTTCAAAATCATCTTCGATGACGGAGGGGAGACGGCAGCGGCGCAAGACTCAGCACCCTTCTCCTAAGCAAGGCCCCCAGAAGTGTGCTCTTGGTTCCATTTTATGTTTATCTTCAACTTTTTATTTTGAACTAATTTCAAACTTGGGAAAATAGTAAATACAAACAAAACCCCATACACCCCTTACCTGGGTTTATCGATTCTTACCATGTTGCCGCGTGTTTCGCCCATCTCCCGGTTTCCCCGCGTCCATCACCCCTCGATACTGCATGCGTGAGCCTGAGATGGAGGACATCCTCCTAAGTAACCTCAGCTGGCGTGAGCCAGAGAGACGGCACAGAGTCTGCACTTTGGTCTGACATGCAGCCAGGTGCTTAGCCAGGCGGCCGCCCCGTCCATCCTCCTGTCCTCGCTCTCCTGGCCTGGACGCAGTCCGGGATCCCTGTGGCCTTCGGGTGTCACGTCCCTCAGCCTCTCTTAGTATTCGACAGCCTGGGTATTTCGGAGGAATAGCAGCCAGCTGTGCGGTAGAAGCCCCCTGAGGGTGAG